GACGTCACGGTCCTTGATTTTAATCTATTCATAAAGGGCTTTTGAACCGCTCTTAGTCTGACCCGTCACCCAGGACCTGTTTGCCTTGGGAGATCCTACCAGGGACATATAGCCCCCGACAACATAGCTCCTAGGATCACTCGGGTACTCAAACCCCTCCACCACAATAAGGTGGTGGTTCAAGTTAAATCAACTAATTATTTCTTAATTATTTCTATTTCTTTAAAATTAATCAAACATGGTGATCAAAAAATGAATATACACAATCAGCCAGCACCTTCTTATAACTTCTCTCTGATCAGGAGGGAGTGGAGCAGGATGAACCCGAGGAGCTGGACTTCATGTTTGACGAGGAGATGGAGCAGATGGACGGACGGAGAAACACCTTCACCGACTGGTCGGACGAGGACTCGGACGGTGAGATCGACGACCACGACGTCAACAAGATCCTCATTGTGACACAGACGCCGCCCTACCTGAGGAAGCACCCGGGGGGCGACCGCACGGGCCACCACACGTCGCGCGCCAAGCTGACCAGCGAGTTGGCCAAGGTGATCAACGACGGGCTCTTCTACTACGAGCAGGACCTGTGGGATGACACGTACGAGCCCGAGTACGCCACCATCAAGGTGAGAGTGCTCCTCTTGGTTGACGGTGGGGTTGTGGTGTGGTGAAGCGACCACAGCCTCAAATATACTCTACCCCCACCTGCAGTGTGTTTGTGCTCAAAGTGAAATGTTTTCTCATGCTTCTTAATAATCAAAAACACACGGTGAGCCGTCACCATCTATGAAACCGAGGACTTTTCCAGAGCACGTGATCTGGCTGGATTTGTGTGAGAGCGACAGTTGAGTAACACTGAAAAACAGTAGTGAATGTAACTCGAGGCCTGCTCATCTCTGTTTTTGCAGGTTTGTTCTTCTTCGTTAGTTACAGTCGTTTCTAGATAAGAAAACCCGACACAGAACAGTGTTCTTTTTGTTTGTTTTGTTGGCATTGCCACCCATTGTAGTATTGTTGAACTCTTTGTGTGACCTTTACATGCTCGCCGGCACACATCCAGTGCACGTGGAACAGAGCATGCTTGTTTATAAATGAGGCCTCGGCCTGAGGGGTGGAGGCGATGGGCTGCAGGGACAGGCGGATGAAGGGACGAATCGCACTGGATGTGACATGATGGTTTTGATTTTAAAATGAGCTGCTGTGTTATTAGGATGGAAAACTCTGGGTCTGTGTTGGTGTAGTTGTGTCAGAACAGAAGGAAACGTCAAACACAGCATTGAAAAGTGTTTGGCAGCTGTATTTTGCTGCTGCACCCCAGTCTTCAGATTGTTGTGGATAAAGTCTGTAGAAAGTTCTGTAAAATTGCCTATGCATTTTGGTGAAGCTCTACAATTTCAGTACTGAGTGTAATTGTTTTTATTGAGGGTTTAGCATTAGAGAAATTTTGTCTGGCTTCCACAGGAATCCTGTATTACCTACCATGTGTTTTTTGTTTTTAAAATGCCAAGAGCCCCTTCAATCTACTGCCCTTTACATTTTCCCGCCTGTCATCACATTGGCTCTGCATCTTCTCCCTACAGCAAGAGGTGGAGAACTTCAAGAAGGTCCACCTGATCAGCCGCGAGCAGTTTGACTGCCTGACCCCTGAACCCCCTGTCGACCCTAACCAGGAAGTCCCCCCAGGCCCCCCACGACCCCAGCAGAGTAAGGACACGGAAACACACAGACGCATCAAACATGTACTTAATCGACTTTCTGTCTTTACCATGAACGCAACACGGAGGCGAGTACAGGTTAGAACTATCATGTCATGGAGTCATTTTTATCTTGTATTAAGATGGCAGTGAGGGAAAACTTGTCAGTGGCTCTTTATCTCTTTAGGCCATGATACATTTTTTTTTTAGAACTACTCACAACTGACGTATAGTGACATATACAATGTAGGTATCACAGGTGTAGACACTGCGGTATTTTAAGTCACAAGGTAAAAGAGGCTTTTATTGTATTGTCAATACAAAAGATTTTTTCCATACTTTAAATAGTATAAAATATGATAGAAACATGGTTTTGTCCTGAGACAATGACACCTGTTCCAGCTCCTGCTTGTGAGAAAAGAAGATTCATTCTGGTAAAGTCACCCAGAAATATTACTAGTCTAAAGACATCATCTTCATTACTCAAGCGATTTCCAAGAAATTATTTTACTCGGGTTAAATCAGTAAGACTCTCCCGTCAGGCTCTTGGAAGATTTTCTCTTTTAGACAGTTTGAGCTCCACATCATCAGTGACTGTGTTAATTAGCCTCCTTAGCTGTGTTCAGTCTGCTGGTTCCTTCACTGTCATGTAAAAGAGAACCCTGGTTCCTGAAATCGGGGTCAGGGATTCGACAGACTTGATGTCCAGAGGATGATGGGTGAGTTTTTGCGGACACTAAAGGTAGCCGAGTGGAGTTGCTTCCTCTTATATAAGCTAAGGCTAACCAAAGCCTGTGGCCTGTAGAAGTTTATACTTTTGCTCCATTGAAATATTCTCTTCCTTTCCTTCTCAGTCCCCACAGACGCTTTGGCGAACAAACTCTTCGGCGCCCCTGAGCCCTCCTCTACAGCTCGCTCACTCCCTACTACCGTGCCTGACTCACCCAACTACCGCAGTGCTCGGACACCCCGCACACCTCGCACCCCTCACCGCAAGGACCCAGCCATGACGCCACGCTTCTACCCAGTGGTGAAAGAAAGCCGGCCCGTTGATGCCAAGGTAAGATGGCCGCTGTGTGAGATATGAGCCTTCTGGTGGTGCTTTTACTGACTTTACAGTTTTTTTAATGAGATAAAAGCACAGTGGGGAAAAAAAAGACAGTTCGGTTACTTTCAACCGCCTTTACAAAATGTTCCCTGTAACCTTTCAGACGCCCAGGAAGAGGAAGACCCGCCACAGCTCCAACCCGCCTATGGAGTGCCACGTCGGCTGGGTGATGGACTCCAGAGAGCATCGCTCCCGTACCACCTCTGTCAGGTGAGACTCGCTGTGACAAGGCTCTAAGACCCCAAACTGATTTTAGTGGTAAAACACTACAACATCTCACCTTGTGGTCAAAAAAGTCTGTTAGCGCCGGTCAGGGCTGCTGACGTGCAACGACATATAAAACCAATGAGAAGCAGTATGTTCTAATGCAGCACTGACAGTTGAATTATCACCTCTTCAAACTTTTTAAAGCCTGAACTTTATCACCTTCGTTAAGTTAGAATTTCTTGCAGGACTGTCCCCTCTGGAGGCACTGATGCTCGGATTTTTGTTTTATTAATGTCTTATTACACATGGTAATAAATGGACAGGTTTTTCTCACCTTCTATGAATATGAAAGTCTGAACATAAAACATAAGCGGAACTTTTTCCCCTCTTTTTTTGGTTGGAAAAATGTGTGTTTAGTATCTTGTCCCACAAAAAAAAAAAACATTACAAGGTTAGACATATTTAGAATTGGGTTTATGATTTGGCATCAGTGTCTTACTACTGTACTGTAAGAAGTTGCTCTGCAGAAATACCAAAGATGTATTTAAGGTCATTTAGAAACTTTGTCCACCAGAAAACAGTGACAGGTTTATATTTAGATGTCCTGATCAGTGCATATCCCGGTCACAAGTCTTGAAAGCATATTGATGTGTTGGTGAAAAGCGGCTGAAAATCTGATTTTCTACCTTCAAAAGCCAACACAGACTTTTGAAGCTGAAACATTATTGGTCAGGAAGGTTTAAAAACACACCCACTTTCAGTACAATACTGGGTCTGAATCACAAAATGTAATGTCACAAACATCCCTCAGCTGTTTTGCCAGGTTCGGGAAGAAGCCATTTGAATGTGCAGCACCTTAAATGAATTGATTGTGTATGAGTAGAGTGAGGAGCAAAAGCAGCATGTAGAGCTGCCCTTTAGTCTTTCGAAGATCACATCTAGTTTCTTTAACAGATGAAATCTGTCCCGCTCTACCGCCCGGCTTTTTAAACCTATTGAACCAATGATGTGCTCATACCGATTGTGTCCTGCGTCTTCTCCTCAGCTCTAATGCCAGCCCATCAGAGGGCACCCCCGCCCTGGGGAACATTGGCTGCACGCCCCAGTCCCTCCCCAAGTTCCAGCACCCATCACATGAGCTGCTCAAAGAGAACGGCTTCACGCAACATGTTTACCACAAGTACCGCCGGCGCTGCCTAAATGGTATGCATGCGATTTCTTCTTTCTCTACTTTGCTTGAGTCACTGGGGTCAGAGGCAGTTCACTGCTATTTATTTATTTACAGTGAGGTGATTAAAGCACTTTATCCCTCTCCTCTCAACCAATCACAGAGCGAAAGCGGCTGGGAATTGGCCAGTCACAGGAGATGAACACTCTCTTCCGTTTCTGGTCGTTTTTCCTGCGGGATCACTTCAACAGGAAGATGTATGAAGAGTTCAGACAGCTAGTGGTCGAGGATGGGAAGGAAGGATACAGGTAAGAGGCCTGACCAGAGGCAGGTCGCAGCTTTCTGCCAATACAAACACAAATACGAGTGTTTTTACAGATCCTGCCAAAACCGCCATTTCCTCAAACCTACAAATGTTAAAACCTGCTGTGGAGGCCCGTGTGGTACAGGCTGAGCAGCAGAGCCTGACCTTTATGTGGGTATTCTGATTGTGCAACTTACAAGATGACCAGCAGAGTGATTTGTATTGAACTTCAGTTGATAGGAATGTGCAGCCATCTGACCCGAGGATCCCTTTTTACTTATTTTTTAATTGGGTTAATGGGGAGTATTTACACTGTATCTACAAGCCATGTTGTCCATAGTTCAGTTTTGTCCCAGTTTGAGTGTGTGTGTGTGTTGCAGGTACGGTTTGGAGTGCCTGTTCAGGTACTACAGCTATGGTCTAGAGAAGAAGTTCAGGCCAGACATCTTTAAGGACTTCCAGGAGGAGACCATGAAAGACTACGAGGCTGGTGAGTTTAACCGGACAGATACAGCACAGTGTGTGTGTTCACCATCTCATCTGGGAGGCACCAGTACAATCTGTGGTGAATTCTCTGTCTCCTGTTCACAGGCCAGCTTTATGGGCTGGAGAAGTTCTGGGCTTTCCTGAAATACTCCAAAGCAAAGAACTTGGAGATTGATCCCAAGCTGCAGGAATATCTGCGCAAGTTTAAACGTCTGGAGGATTTCAGAATTGATGTGAGTGGAATATTTTTGTAAAGGTTGAGAAAGAAGAAATTGCAATATCGCCTTTCTACAAACTGTTAAGTTCCTTAAGTGGTCACCAGATGTTGGCAAACTCATTTTTATTCTAAATAAATTCACCTAAAATACAAGGTTTCATCCCAGAAAAAAAGTCCACCCTATCAGATAAAAAAAAAAAAGTGGCAAAGAAGATTGAAACTGATTGGTTGGTTAATTAAAATGGTCAATAAGAAATTATACCTCAGATATTCTCAGCCTTGAGCCACTTGATGTCCTTATTGGGTCACATACAACCTCGGAGAACGGCCTGTTGTTGTATTCTGTAAAAGCTCCTTCATTCACTCGACAACACAACTTCACGTGGCAGTTTTGAACCCTGGACGTGTGTCACGGGTCAACACACTGATAAACCCTTTTAGACCAACAGATGAACATGGGCTCATTGTGTGTTTTGTGTTTCTTCCACCCTGGTTATTTCTGGCTCCAGCCACCGATCGAGGAAGGAGGCCATAAAAGACACTCGTCCAGCGGGGACGGTCGCCGCCGGCACCCCTCTCAGCCCTCCAGCCGGCCCCACAACCAGGCCAGCTCAGGCCCCAGCCCTGCCCTCGCTGCCGAGGGTTCTGCAGCCAAGGATAATGCCAAACCCACCAGCCAGAAAGCCCCCACCCGTGCCGCTGACCCTGCACCAGATGCCAAGACACCGAAATAACTCCACAAACACGGCAGCCTGCACGGATCAGCTCAACCATGTCTGTAAGTCGCCGGTTCTCTCTGCGCCACAGGAGGGAGAAGGGGGCGTCCAACTTTTCAGTCAAGCATGGGAATGGTTTTCTTTTCCTGCGACAACTTATGCTCGAGAAATAAGGACAAAAACAATTAATATGGCTCATTTTATTAATTTGCTTTAAATTTTTAAGAAAAAATGGCCTTAACGAGGCAGAGTTTTTTTTTTTTTCTTTTATGCACCATTATCAGTCCACATGGAGGATTGTTTAGCAGTGACCCACTATGACCCTGGAATCTTTTTGTTCATTTTGACCCCCCTCTCTGTCACTGGGACCCCTCTGACATTGTCACTGTGCTGATGGATGAAACACGTTTGATTTTTTGTTCAGATCTCTGACTAATGATTATGATTTCTTCAGCATGTGCTGGGACTGGGGACTATATTGAGCATTTGCAAAGCCCCGCTGGTGGCCCTCCAGAGGCCACGCCACACCTCCCATCTAACTGGACCAAAGTGGTTTGAACCGAGCAACTGACATTTCCATCTGCAGAGCCTCTAATGCTCTCAGCTGGGGGGTGAAAAATCAGACATCTTTGATTTACTTTATGGCTGGACATTGAGGGGGGGGAACATTAAAGAACCAAGTGACAAGAGAGGAGTTGAAGACTTGTACCACCAGTGTGGACATGATCTTTGAAAGTTGCCTTATTTGAATGGTTTTTCTGCTTTGAACCTGTGCCCGCCCCCTTGTTGTCGATTGTATAGTGCTGAACCTCCCCTGTACGTCCTTGGCAGCATCTCCAGTGGAGGCCACCAGGTGGCACAATGTCTGCCAGACTGTTCTCCATCACCCCCTTGTCCCTGAATCACCATTTCCTAGATGTCTTCCAAGTGTTACTTGCTCTGTTACAAGTCCATCATGGCTTCTTGTGGTGAATCAACCTGGTGGAAGTTTATCGCCTTTTCCTCTACACCCCCCCCCCCAAAAAAAACACTTAAGTGGGATGGAGAAGGAAGAACCCTGATGATGTTCCTTTGTGTGCTTCCTGACTTTCTCTGTGCCCCTCTGCCTCCCTGTCAGACAAGCTGCATCCATCCGTTTGCCATCCATCCATCAGTCGACCATCAGTGGCACCATAGAGCTGAATTACTTGAAGAAGTGATAAGAAGTGATGGTTATGGTGAGGGCCGTCATGCTATGTCGCAGGTGCTCTAGATGGAGACGGTAGAGAGGCTCAGACATTTGGCCTCTGACTTCTCTGTTAAACTGATGTTCGCTCGGCTGACCCGCTGCTTAACGAGGCTGATGGGGCCTTGGGCGCCTCTTCCTGTTTCAAACATACATCAGCTCCAGGCACCAACGCTAAAAGGCATAGTTACATGCAGGTACAGATGTAGCAGCGTGAGCAAGCTGAATCCTAACACTGCTGGATGTGTTGCTTCGTCGTGGGCTACAAACCCAAGACGTGGTTGTTCTGTTCAGTCGTCACTATTCATATTTAAATCTTTAAGTCCAGTACTAAGGATAGAGTGATTTTCTTTTCCTGCACTAATGTAAATGTGAATTAGACCGACGAAGAGAAATCATTATAGCTCCACGCTACTTGTTTTGTTTATAGAACAGATGATATATTTGCCTTAAACATATATTCTAATGTTTTTTTTCCAATGGTCACATGATATTTTTTAATGCTGTTATTTTAGTTTGCAGTGTTGCTAGAGTTGTTCATATGATGGAGGTTGGGTTTTTGTCAGGCTGTTGGGGAACATGTTTCAAAACAGAAAAGGAACAGTTGACATCAAGGCATCAGTGGGTGTTCAGTGCAAAAACCAAATCTGTAAGCTTCTAGTGTTTTCATGTTCTGTTCACAGGCGGCTCTTTTTTTTTTGTCCCCTTGTAGTAAAGTTGTTTGCAAAGATGAGCAATAACCTGTTAACCACTCAAGCCAACTCATCAGACTCCCGGTTTTCTGCAAAAATCTCAATAATTATTGAAAGATGGTGCTTAATGAAACAACCCATTTTCCATTGACTTACTGCAGTGTTTGTTGCAGATTAGTCACATCAGTGAAAATCCTCCAACTGCTTTTGAGCTGTGCTGGACACCTGTGCCTGTCTGTTGGTGTAGAACTCATGCAGCCTCGCGGTTGATGTTGCGGTTGAGTGGAGTTGGATGTCACGTCTTGCCGTGTTTGTTCTTCAGCTTCTTGCAGAAATGTTGCAAAACTGTACGTGCTTTTTTCCCACTGTTTGGTGTTGATTTGTCTTCAGGGAGATTTGGATCAGTCTGATTGTTACAGTTGATGCATCAAAGTGTTTACTGGAGGGTTAAAGACGGGAAAGAATAAGAGCTACAAAATATTCTGATAGGGACAAACTCCATGCGTTTCACACAGCCTGCTTTGAATAGGTACGCTGGTGTGTGGCTGCACACGACAGTAGTCACACTGTCCCTCCCTCATCGCCTGGCACCAGACACTTGGGGGTTTCAGGTGTTCTGGGGAGTTTTCTGCCTTCTCTATCACCTTAGAACTGCTGCTAGCTGTCCAAACAAAGTGCAGGGGGCACCGCACCCTCTCCACGACACTTGTACAGACTGGGCCAGATGGCCGAACACTGGAGGGATAAGTGATGGATGAGGGGACGGGAGGGAGGAGCAGAGAGAGGGGAAGACCTTGACTTGGTTTTGTGGTGTTGCTCAAAGGAGTATGGCTTGTTATGATGTCTGGAGATTGAAAAAAGGGCAAAATTCCATAAAGCCATATGAATATGAAACAACTGTACATGAACCATTCAGATTGTTCATTACATTACAATATCCTGGGCTTGTCTTGAGGAAAAAAAGATGAAAATGAGGAAAAAGGAACAAAAAAAATATATAAAATGGAAAAATGTAAAATACTTGAATGAGATCTTGTATTATATAACATTTAATATTCATAATAACTGCTTTGTTGGCTGATGTGATTCGCTATTAGTGTTATTTGTAATTTGTAGTAATTATGCTTTCCTTTAATAAAGAAAAAAAACAAAATGGACAAAAAAACCTCAAATGCACAGACTGTGGAGTAATTATTTCTATCGTGTCACAAAATCTAAGACCGCCACAGATGTTTTGAACATCTGTGTTTAGAACATGAAATTAGGAAGGCTCGAGTTAATAAAGTGTAGTGGCTGTGTTTTTTGAACATAAACCATTAAAAGTTCTAATTGGATCAGATTCCAGCAGTTCTTTATTGAGTATTCGATACATCCAGTCAGACTCGAGGCAGGACATAATACTTGAAATAGCTTGTATGATATTCAGATGTCAGAAGGCCAGAATAGATATTAGGCTAGTTTGGATTCCTGCACATATTGGGATGGAGGGAAATGAAGTAGATGAATTTGCAAAAGCTGCACTTGTGTAAGTATGTTATAGTAATAGTATAGTAGTGATTTAAAAGAAAATGAAAGAGAAATGGCAAGAATTGTGGGATAAAGACAGTAAGGGCCAGTTCTATTACAGTATTTAAAGGAAAGTAGGAGAAATGAGAGGACGTACTGGAAATGGGAAGGAAGAAGATATGGCATCAAGACTGAGATTTGGGCATACTGGTTTGAAAAGTACACTGAAGCTGAAGAAGCATAATACAGGTAAATGAGTTGTGTAGGGTAAAGAGACTGGAATATGTTATAAGGAATTGTCCCAGGTTCAGGCAGGAGAGGGAGTTGTTCAAAAATACAGTTTTAAGCGGTGGAATGAACCTTAGTTTAGCGGAGGTGTTGGGGAAAAACCGAGGGGATACAGGTTAGAGAGCACAGGGCTAAGCAAGATAATATAATGTGAACTGAGTGAGGTTATTTTGTTATAGTAGTAGTAGTAGTAGTAGTAGTAGTAGTAGGCAGGGGTCGTTCTGATCCACACTCCAGTCTAGAAGGTGGCCGTAATGCACATAAAGCTGTTTGCCAACCGCCATTAAACAACAGAAGAAGAAGGAAGACCAGTAGACCCAATGGATATGCAGGTAAGCTTAATGTTAGAGAAAATACAAGATCCTCAGCTTTTTTTTTTTTTTTTAACTATCTTGTGTTTTGCAAAGTAGTTAAGCGCTTCTGACTGTTTTATTAAAGCGAGTATTGTGTTTTGTCATTTCTGTGTGTTTTAACTTTTTTGTGTGTCTTTGGGAAGTGTTGAAAATAGCAAGCTGGCAACACGGAGAAAGGTATCTTTATCTACTCGCTTTAAAAAAAAACTGTTAACTATATTACAATACACAAATAAATCTGCCAAAAAGTTTGCAAAACATGAAGGGGTCCGAATAGTTTGTGAAGGCACAGTACCAATACGTGTGTTACAGAATACAGTCATGTTTGTTCACTTTGCATGCAGCCTGGGAGTCGATCTACATGTAATGCCACACATTTTTCTGGTAGTATTCAGACTGTAGTATGTATTGTATAGGCATTGCTATTTGGCAAATAAAAAGATTTCTTATTATCCCTTGCTTTGTTAGCACTGGTGTTGCATTCTCTTTGCTCTTTGTTAGCCACTTACAAATAAATTGAGAGAGTTCAGTACCAGAACCAATTACAGAAAGTATATAACAACCAGTTCTTACAAACGGAGTCTGAAGGTCCCTAAACAACAGTTACTGAACGGCAGCTGGACAATTCTACCTTAGTGGTTAACACCACTGACTGTGGTACGGTATGTCTGGGTTCCATTATCTGTCAGGGCAGGCGAGATTGTTTTGTGAGTGTGACTTCCATGTGCAATCTCATTAACCGATAACAGAAGTCAGTAAAGGTTCCAAGTATGTTCCAGTACAGCAGCTGGAAAGCTCGGTGGTTGACACCACTGACTGTGGTACGGCAGGTCGGTGTTCGTGGCCAGTCGTGGGTCCTTCAGCAAGGCACACCGTTAACCCTACTGCAGGGGACCTCCTATCTTCTTTAACCTTCTCCCACAGGTACCCCTTTCCTTTCTTCTTGCCTTTCTCGATTCCACCCGTGTTGCCAGGATGATATCTCCCCACTTTCGCTGGTGTCCTGACTCCTTCTCTCCATAGCGTTCACGGTGTACCTCGCTCAGTGGATAGCACTAAGAGCCTTACCGAAGGACCCACGACTGGCCGCGAACCCCGACCTGCCGTACCATAGTCAGCTGTGTTAACCACCATGTCATCCACCTGCTGTACAAGAACACATTGGGGATTTTTACTGGCTTCGCATTTTAGCGAAGAAGAGGGGGTATTTGGTTTGATGCAAGGCACAACTCAATTTAAGAGTACTGAGGTTTTAGTGTGAATCCCACCTGAATCTGATTGGACGCTGACAGTCCAACCACAGAGCAGAGTCATATTGTCCAATCGGGTGGTAGCTGGGTTCTTCAAGTTAGTCTCCCGGATGGCAGCTCCGTAAGTTTGGTTGTAGTGGAGAATCAAGAGGGACGGCAGTGTAAGACGTTCTGCTACTCAGGTGGGTCACATCAGAAAATTGTAGAAAATCACAGTAAACTTTTCGTGTGTCGAGTTCTGTATGTAGGCAGCGCGAAGGTGTTTTGCTGTTAACACCGTTGTCTAAATTTGTTTTCTATTCCAGGTGGGATACTTTTATCTAGCGTTAGCCAAATGCTAATGTAGGATGTTAGCCACCCAATACTTTCTTGCTTTGCTTGAGCCTGTCAGTTGTCAGGCTAATTGTGAAACCTCGTAGAGTTGACTTGTAACTTATTCCATGTTGGATGTGTAGTCTTTTGGATTAATGAACTTCTCTAGTTTTACATGCCCCATTTAATGTAAATCGTCACTGGCCGGTTTGGATCAAACCGGGTCTTCATCAGCACGGAAATTTAACAAATTGTTTGCACCTGTATGTTTCCGCCCTGATGAAGACCCGGTGAGGTCCGAACCGGTCGGCGTCTTTTTACCGAGATGCCCCGTTACAGGTAAGAGTGCTACATTTAAAATGTTACTTAAATAATAGTGCAAAGGCATTAGCAGCGAAATGTACCTAAAATTACCAAAAGTAAATAAGTAAATGTGCAGAATCATAATAGAATACATTTCACGTTGATGTATATTTGATTATAATTTCTGGTGCATTATTGTTCATTTTAATGTTGTAGCTGGTAAAGGTAGGGATAATTTTAACTGTTAAAATTTGAACTTCTGGTGAGTAGCTTGTAAATTTGTCACCAGAGATTACTGAAGTCTCATGATTAGGCTTCTGCTGTATTTCCTTTTTATTCATCTAATTCTGAAAAGAAACTATAAACTCTGGTTATCAAATCAATCTAGTGGAGTAAAAAGGTATGGTAAGATGTGAAGAAGCAGAAACTAAAAATAAGTATAGATGCCTCAAATGCACTTATGTCCAGTGCTTTTTCCAACAGTTTGATGCTGTTACTACATTAATGTGACTAGTAAGTATAGGCTGGGAACATTAAGGAAAGATCAGGTGAGTAGGGGCTCAGATGTGCAAGAATTATGAATGCAATAGTCCTTTAATGAATCTTATCTGTGTAAAATGTGCACGTTTGTACAGGTTTCTGTGATCAGAGTAATTGTTATAACTAGGACAGACATTATAGGACTAACTCCCCCCCATGTATCTTTCAATAGGCCATGGAACCCAGGACAAGAATGTGGGACTAGCAGAGCTTAAATAGTCTCGGGAAGGACCGACAGCGTTCCGGGCCCCTCTCACGGACATCAACTTGATCAGGTGAGAAACATTCTAAAGTTGTGGTTCAAGTCAGCCTGTAATTTCTCTGCTTTGTCAGGAAAAAAAAACACACTAATTTCAAAAGTGTTTGAGGAATTTTGATATAAATTGTAATGAAACATTTCATTCCAATCTGACCCATCTTTTCCACTGACAAACTTCCTAGTTTGATGTATGGTGTTTTAAGACAGCTGTGCATATTGGCGACTTAAGTGCTTTCCTTCAGCATTTGTATTGTTAGGTAATTTCTTAGATATTGTTTAGAGATCTGTTGTATTAGAAGATGTTAGTGTAGCCAGGATGTCTCCTCAGGGACAAATGTTATGACGGTAAAAGTAACCATAATGTCTTAATGTGTAAGGTTATGTCAAATTGTTTGATACACACATTTTCATGTTTTGTCTACTGCTCAGCTGCCAAATCAGGTGACGTTTGGGGTCTTTTCTGCTTCCGGGCTGCTAATTCTTGAATAAACCAGTACGGTTATTTTTTTTTTTATATACTCAAGTGGTCTGAAAGAACCGGATGAGGCTTTAGTATCCATTCACATACAGTAAGTGAAACGTGGTGAAGCCTTGTCTTAAAACCTTTCCTCTGTTTAAATTCACTCACAGGTTCTGATCCTCTAAATGGCCAGAAGCAAGGCATTCTTCCTTGATGCAAAAGAAACCTGACTCTACATCCAGGTACTGTTAACATCTGTGCACTTGCCACCTTTATAAGTCTATTTGCCCTGCCTGCCACCAAGTGTCAAACATGTTACTAACCTACTGTACACCTTTTTGCTTCAGTGGTGATGCTACACTTCCACAGTCCCACCTTGAAGCCTGGCTGATGTGTACACAACTGGAAGGTGAATTCCTGTCAACCCTCATGAATATTAAACCCACCTCAAGAGAACCTGTGCTTCATTTTATTATGAATGTTTTTGGTGCTGGACTACAGTGAAGAATTAAGACACACAACCAGACAGATTTAATGTAATGCTTTATTGAAGAAACTCCATTTAAAAAAAAAAAAAAAGGCCCTGATTGGTATGAATGTTGAACCACAGGGCCTTTAAAACAATCTCCCACATGGAGTACACTTTCATATGCTGCTGAGCACCTGCAAAAAAAAAAGTTGTAAAGCTTTGATTTTAATAAATGGTCCATTTATAAACAAACTTGCCTGCATCTGTGCCTGTCCACAAGAATGCTGATGGTCTGGCCACAGTATGACATCTGGTTAAGGACTGCCTAAGGGGGAAAAAGCTTGAGTTTAAAGCAGGATATGCGCTATAATTTGATTGGTTGGCTTCATTTTGAACAAAAGGCTTTTAGTGGGCACATTATTTGTACCTGGGTAATGAACATCCTTTAAGATACAGAATGGACACTGCAAAGTTCCAAGTCAACATTTAGACAAAAATCAGGGGTGAGGGAAAGGAAAAAAAAAAAACCTGAAATACAAGAGGTGATCTTGCCACATGTTGAAATAGCCGTCTCTGAATTACTGGTGGCAAGTTCCAAGAAAAGGCCAGACTGCTGATATGGACCATTCACTAACAATCACAGTTTTTGTTTACCCTCAATTTATGAAAACAGGCCATGCAAATTTGATCTTTAACAGCAATTTAAGCTACTCTGCAGTTGCAAAGCACCACTCTTGCTTAAATGTGGAACCTTTTTTACATCACATTTCACAATAGTCTGAACAATTTACTCACCACATGAATTGTCTGTCGGTTTGTAGTGTGATCCCCACAAAGCGTCAGGTCCTGTTCACTGGGCTGCCTGCCAAGTTCTGGAGTTGACTTACTCCTCAGGTGCACTCTATTCAACAAATTGATTGTTTTACAGTTACTTGCCTTTCATGAAACAACAGTGTGGAAATGAACTGCATAAATATTGTGTATACATCCTGTGCACAGTACGTTAGTCCTACTGTTGTACATATTGCCAAAATACAAGTGAACATGGGTAACATCAATATAATGCTACTTTGAACAAAATGATACAGGAATACTTTAGCAGCTCTAAGTTTTGATCACAACAAAAGGTCTATATTCAAAATTTAGTACGACGCAAACATGGATGAGAGTCTATAATGGTAACTAAAAGCTCTACAAAAGCTGGTGAATTCACCAGAAGTGAGATTAGTGTCGCCTACCTTTCACTGCACCGCTACTTTTATTCAAGGACAAAGATGTCCATACAAGAATACAATACAATGCCACATTCTAGAAAACGTAATTAAATCCTGGCATTGCTTGTATCGTCAGTAAAACCTACTGATAATTTGAATATGATCTTAAGTCTTTTCGGGCCGTTCATCAATGATGACTGGCAGCTGATGTTTGGCTGGACTTCAGTCTAAACGGAGGCTCCATCTCACACAGACCAGGCAGAAAAACTCAATACTCACGTACTTGGGTAAAAAGGTTTGTCCACTACAACAAGGAAATCCATGTCAAAGACCAGTGTCCCCTAAGCAGTGAACTCATTAGGTGTTTAAAACGAGGGTGCCAACGTTAATCTAGTCCAGATATAATCGATACGCCACACCGTTCCCATAACGCTGGCAGTCAGACTACAGAGCTAACAGGGGATAGGGGACTAGTTACCGCTAAGTCACGGCAAAATTTCCTAGAAGCAAGTTTTAACAATCAACCTCGTTGTTAAAATGAAAATGCTAAAGCAAAACACTAGCTTACCTGAAAGCTAACCACACATGGAGCTAATTAGGACACACGCCTGGTTTGTCTTCTACCCGAAAGGCTTCTTGCTAGCAAAGCTTTACTACGGAGCCCGGGAAGGGACATGGGAGAAAAAAAAAAGCTCCGTACTTTGCCAACATTAAATTCTCGCTAACGCCAGATAAAGTAGCCTATGAACTCGAAATCAGCCATCTATTAAACTGCTTTACTTCAGAGTAACAGCTAAGAATCTACATACACACAGAAGGCTACACATTAAAAATTAATTACAAAATATCTACCGCAAATCAACCTCATGGTTAGTAAGTCGCCACTTCACCCTCCGTCCTTCGTTAAGCCCCGTCGCCACTTCACCCTCCGTCCTTCGCTAAGCCCCGTCGCCACTTCACCC